CTCTGTTTGCTTGTTATATTATAATACAAATTCTTCCCCGATCCATTAGTTCAATCATTTATGGAGTACGAGACAAAACTTTCAGGAGATATCTAATAAGATATCTGGAATGTAAAGCGAGCCCACAGTAGGCATCACTTCACACAGGAATTTTAAAAACTTATTCTATTGAGATACGATGATGTGTTGGAGGCCCCTGGCACATCACTGGTGCTGGCTGTGGTGAATGCAGTCTTCAATAGAAATGAATAGGAAGGTCTGGGTCATTTCACGCCTTTGAAACTCAAGCTTGATTTATGGTTCCACGTTCTACTAGTTTACTAACAAGTTGAAGCTTCTCCCGTTACTTAACCACAGCACATGTGGTTACTGTGTATTTGATGTGTGCCAGCTTCCACTGCAAACAAATCCTTATTCATAACTCCTCACTGAAATATTTTCCTTATGCATTTTTGTTAGGTTCCTAGTCCCGTTCGGAGGGGTGCATGTTCAAATTGCAGCAGGAAAAAAGAGGTTGTTGTTCTGTGTGTCCTGCACTGGTTGGCGCCCAAAGGCAAGTAAAAATTCCCGTGCATGCTGAATAAAATGCCACAACTACAATGCTATTGTTGCTAGCAGTGGCTATTTTCCTTATGCATTTTTGTTAGGTTCCTAGTCCTGTTCGGAGGGGTGCATGTTCAAATTGCAGCAGGAAAAAAGAGGTTGTTGTTCTGTGTGTCCTGCACTGGTTGGCGCCCAAAGGCAAGTAAAAATTCCCGTGCATGCTGAATAAAATGCCACAACTACAATGCTATTGTTGCTAGCAGTGGCTCAGACTGTTTGTTTTTGTTTTAAACAGTCTTGGTAGTGGCCCTTCTGTGCTGATATTTTTCTAGACATGATCTTGACATGAGGATCATATTATTGTACAGTCTAGGAAAAATATAATTGGTTACCTAGTTTAACATGGGGTTCTGTGAGTACAGGGAAACCAGGTCGAAACAGTGATTGGTTGCACAAACAGAGGTCAGTGCAACCAGGGTCTAAGGATTTCTGCAGACCTCTCACATCATGGACACACATTGTATGAACTCCTCCCCTCTGGACGGCGCTACAGATCACTGTACGGCAAAACAACCAGGCATAAGGACAGGTTCTCCCCCCAGACCATCACTCTGATAGACACTTAACCCACGACAGTATGACTGGACAACAACCCTCAGTGCAACACCTGCAAATATACCTTGTACAGACTATACAGATTCATACAGGTCTCTAGTTTTAAGTATTCTGTTTTTATTCCTATTATCTCATTTCAATGAGCATTCCTTGGTCTGTCTGCATTGTTTACTGCCTGTTTATACTGCTTATTTTGCATTGTTTGTTGCTTGTTAATACTGCTAATGTTATATTAACAGCCTTATGCTGGTTTACTGTTTACTTGCCTCTTGCATGGGGATATGTACATACACATTGAGAGCCGATGTACCAGAGTCAAATTCCTAGTGTGTCCGACACACCTGGCCAATAAAGCTGATTCTGATTCTGATTCAATGCAACCCTTCCATCTTAACATCTGTGTACATTTTTGTCTTTGGGTTTTTTACTTGTGGCTTGGATTTTATATTGCTGTGCACATTGGGGGCCATTGGGCTGGAGTCAAATTCCTTGTATTGCTGATAATACTTGGCAATAAAGTTTATGCTTATGATGATCACCATCATCACGAGGATGATGACAAGCAAGTCAATTAAGTCCTGTTCTAATGTATTTATACAGGCTGGTGTGCCAGGCTGCCTCTCAAGGACTCAGGCAGGTGAACAGGACAGAGATGGTGACTGAAGCCTTTAAATTTTAATTCTTTGGTAAGTAATAATAATAATAACTTTATTCACATGTCAGTATTTATTATGGTTTTTTTTTTTATTAAATTTGTATTTTTCATCACTGTGTAAAATGCCAGGTACCATATTTGTGATTTATTTAGCTGTGTTAAGTCAATTACACAATAAGGTTTCAGCAGCTGGCTCATCTTTGCTCTAGATAAATAATACAAAGTACAAGTATAACAGTTAATATGCGTCAGCCTTTGTTAATATAACCAAAATATTTATCACTGCTGGATGACTAATGGGAGAACACTGCATGTCATGAAATTTCATTCAAGTAAAAAATGTTATTTTTGTGGTTTAAATTCCTTCAACAAATAATTTCAAACCACAAATTAAAGAATTTCTATAAATCTATTTTTAAACACACAACAACTTTGTGTCTGAAGCCTCAGGTCTTTGCTGCAGGTAGAGAACAAAATCAAATGTGCAAGTAAAACCTGTAAGATACAGCAGTGATGCAGCACAGCTGGAGAGCTGCATGTTTCCTCACAGCATTTTGGGGAGACAAGAGTTATATAGTCTATGCATTCACAACAAAAGTGCCTTTTAAGATATTCTGATTTAACAGATCGTTTTGATTGATTGTAAAAAGTTATTACCAGAGATGCACTGATTGCAGTTTTCTGGGCTGATTCTGATTCTTTCTTTCTAAAAACTGTAACTGACACCATGCACAGACATTTTCACAACTTTTCCTTAATGAAAACAATTGTCATAAAAATAAAACACAGTATTAAAGTTTCACATTGGTTAGTTATTAAATTGATTATATTATGAGGTTTAAAATAATTCCTTGATACATTTGTCAGTTTGTATTTTGTTTCTCTCTCTCTCTCTCTCGAAGCTCCTAGTAAAGTATGAGCTCCTCAGTGGGTCCCGGAGCCAACATGACATCTCAGGTTTGGTGAAGCATTTCTGTTTTGAACTGAATGCTTCCATCAGTGAAAAGCAAGAAAAGAAAACCACCGGTACGGTGGTTTTCTTGTACTGCTACGTATATAGTTTTATTCTTCAAATGTAGTTTCATGGTCCTTATTTATACACTTCAGCAGAACTCTGCTGTTTATTGAATGCACCACATGAACAGAAGCCCTGTAACCGTTAAAGACTCAAGCAAGAAAAATTTTATGTTAAATTTGACAATAATTTTCTTAATTCTATCCACAACTAAAATGGAAAAAAAATTCAGTCCCTGATGCTGCTAAACTTTAGGGCCCGGTTACAGGAGCCAGATATACTATGTTCACACTCCTGATTCACAATTAATAAAGTCACTTGACTGAAAATATACCGAGAGTAAATGTAATAATGTTTCATAAAGTTGTAAATTAGGGACAATGTTTTCTCATCGGTTCATGTTCATGAACAGCTTTGTCTAAAAAAAAAAATGAGCTGATGTGTCAAAATGTTTTTAAAATCTCGAAACTCAAATTCTAATGTCAGCTGAGAAACTATATTGTATAACTGTTAAAGTACAAAAAATTTTTCTTTATTTCAATGTAGTGTTGACACTTCACAGAGAAGATGAAAGTGACAAGTTCTACTGACTTGTATCTATTATTTCAACATGTTTATGCTTGTTGTGTACAGTTAAGGGGAATGCCTGTTAGCCCTTATAACACACCAAATATTCACAGTGATGAATTTAAGATAAACTGACTCAGTGTATTCAAAAGTAATTTCTGCTTCATTCTCTTTGGCTCTCTGTGTTTCTGGATCAGTTTGAGCTCCTCAGAGATTCCTTCACCACTGCATTTGTGAAGAACCTGACTATGGTTCTGGTCTGGCTCATCATCAGTTACATCAATGGAGCTTTAGTTGCTACGTTTTTCAGACACCAGGTACACACACACACACACACACACACACACACAAGCAAAACAATGGGCACATGTAACTAGTGCTGAAGCATCTCCTTGATTAATCGATTAGGAAATCATCAGATTAACCAACAACATATTTGATGAGCACTCATTTTCAGTCCTTTATAAAGACTTTGCTGGTTTCAGCTTCTGAAAACCCATTGAATTTACCATATACAGTATGTAACTACTGGACAAAGCAACCTGAAGACATCACAGTGGGCTCTAGGAAAACCTTTTCACTATGTGGTGAGATCTTACAGGCTAAAGCATAATCTGTTAATGAAGAAATAACCAGTGTTTACATTACATTAGGCAGACAGGAGACCCAGTAGCTACACCTGTAAAGCTTGTTCAGACTAAAACTGATGACACAATGAGCTGAACTGATTACTTACTCAATACTGTGCATGTGAATGCAACCAATGACCTGTCTTTTCTTTCTTTTAATCAATTAATCTGTACATTCCTTCAAGCAGAAAAGCTTCTGAAATTGACTGTTCAGACAAAATATACTTCACAAGATGCAGAACATTCAGTTTACCTTTGCATCAACACCTTGTTGCTCAAATGCATTACAATAATTCATTTTCAGGGGGATTCACCTTCTCTTTCCTCCAGGTCTCAGCTTAAAAACAACCATCACCTGATTCTCTCCTCTTCTGTTCCATAAGAAACTTACTGTTTCTTGACATTTTTCACTCCTCTCTCTCTGTCTTTCTCAAGATCTTTTATGAAGACCCTCGCTATATCCTCTTCATCCACATGGTGATCAATGATGCCATCCAGCTAACCGTCACCATCACACTTTTTGTCCTCAGCTACATCTTCTACAAACTAAACGTCTCTTTCTGCTGCTTCTTTATCCTGGTGGCAGTCTTCACCACCAGAAACACCCCTGTCAGCTTAGCCAGCATGGCCATAGAGCGCTACATTGCTGTTTGCAAACCTTTACATTACCCCCAAATCTGCACAGCAAGGAGAACTTACATAGTCATTGGGTTGATGTGGTTTATATGTGCGGCTCCAGACATTACAGATCTGTTTGTGACTCTGGCCACCGAGTCCCTGAGCTTCTTTCATGAGTCAGTCTTCTGCTTGCGCCAGAATGTTTTCAAAGACCCGATCCTGGCATACAAACGACAAGCCTTTGACATCATCTGCTTCTCTTGTGTGTTTCTGACTTTGGTCTTCACCTATCTGAGGATCCTGTTTGCAGCCAGGTCCCTCTCCACAGACAAGATGTCAGCTCAGAAAGCCAGAAACACCATCCTCCTGCATGGGGCCCAGCTGGCCATGTGCATGCTCTCTTACATTTCCCCAAGTGTGGAGATTATTCTACATCTCATCTTTCCAGGTCAAATCCTAGAAATCAGATTCGCAAACTACCTGATCGTCTACATCTTTCCCCGGTTCCTGAGCCCAATCATCTACGGTGTCAGAGACAAAAGGTTTAGCAAGTACCTCAAAATACACTTTCTGACCCTCAGGTGCAGGCACAAACTGTGGACAGTCACCCCACTGGACAAAGACAACATGTAACTGGTTTCAGTACTGTTCAGAAGTTTTAGGCACTTTAGACGTTTTGATTCTGCTCTACCATCAGTACCATTAGGATGGTGTCTGATCAGTCCCAAATTCATTGTATGGCCTCTAGCCAGAGTCAAAAAAATATTCTCAGCAACAAGAAGAACCAGGAGTCCTGTAACAGATGGTCTGGGCCCCTAAGAGCCCTGATCTCAACATCATGGAGTCAGTCTGGGATCACATGAAGAGACACAAGACACTGAGACAGCCTGAATCCACAAACGCAGCTTCTCCAGGATGCTGGAACAACCTACATGCCAAGTATCAGAAAAAACTGTGTGCAGGTGTACGGAGGAGACCTGGGGCTGGTTTAAAGTAAGGGGGTCACAGCAAATACTGATCAAGATCTGATCAATTATATTGTTTCCTATTTACTCCAATTTGTATGAAGTTAAAAACATTCACTTTAGTTTGACTGCCTAAAGCTTTTGCACAGTACTATATACATATATATAAAAAACAGTTTGTCAGTTTAAATAAAGATATTTTCTTTTTTAATATTTTGATTTTGGATGTTTCCTTTTGATGTTATTATAGGTACTGAAGTTGATGTAAATTTTTATAAGAAAAATCATAAATTGAAAACATGAAAATGTTGCTAGCAAACAAACTTTGTGGTTGTATGCCTCTGCCAACCAGTCAAATTCACAAAAAATGGACAGACGGGAGGTCACTGCGACCTTGACCTTTGGCCATCAAAATCTAATCAGTTCATCCCAGAAGGCAAGTGAATGTTTGTACTAAAATTCGAAAAACATTCTCTCAAAGTGTTTCTGAGATATGATGTTCACGAGAATAAGACGAAGAGACGCATTTTTACAGACAACCTGAAAACTGGGATTTAGGCATTTTATACCTACTGTACAGAAAATGTGTTCTGTCAGCCTAAACAGAGGAAACAGAAATCATCTCTTTTCACCTGACATATGAGTACATAAATGATAGAAATGAATCTAGAAGATTATCCATAGTCACTGTCTGGAACAATTCATTTTTGACATAAGGAATGACATCATTACAGCTGAAGTCAGAAGTTTACATACACTTAGCCAAATACATTTAAACAAGGTCAGTTAGTGTCACTACTTTATTTTAATAATGTGAAATGTCAGAATAATAGTGGGGGAAAAGATTTATTTCAGCTTTTATTCCTGTCATCACATTTCCAGTGGGTCAAGCATTAAATTGTTTAACTTGGGTCAGATGTTTCAGGATGCCTTTCACAAGCTTCCTACTGTCAGTTGCTGGAATTGTACCAAATTCCTCCTGACAGAGCTGGAGGGACTGAGTCAGGCTTGGAGGCCTCCTTGTTCGCACATGCTTTTTCAGTTTTGCCCACAGGTTTTCTATTGGACTGGGGTCAGGGCATTGTGATGGCCACTCCAGTACCTGGACTTTCTGGCTGACGCCTTGAGATGTTTCTTCAACATATCCACATCATCTTCCTTCCTCATCATGCCATCTATTTAGTGAAGGGCCCCAGTCCCTCGTGCAGCAAAGCATGTTTTAACTGACATGAGATGTCCTTTGGAGGCGACAGTGGTGCAGTGGGTAGAGCAGTCGTCTCCCAACCAGAAGGTTGGAGGTTTGAATCTTGGTGCCTGCAGTTCACATGTCAAAGTGTCCTTGGGCAAGACACTGAACCCCAAAGTTGCCTGTGATAGCGGCACATACACGCCCGAGGCCCTCGGCTCCAAACAAAATTTTGTGTGATAGCGGCACATACACGCCTGAGGCCCTCGGCTCCAAACAAAATTTTGTTCTGCGTGTTACAATGACAATGAAGAGGATTCTTCTTCTTTCATGTGAAGCATCCAATCACAAACTGATTTCCAATAAGGGGCCCTTTTCAATCCATGAAGGATGCACTGGTGTATCCTCGGTTATAACTCCTCCAGGCAGCCTTCCTCCTGGAACAATAAAATAAGGGACCTGGGATTCACCTTAGGAAACATATTTTAGAGTCATGAGACGTCCTCTCCCCTGGTCCTTCATCTGAAGCATCCGATCACCAACTGATTTGTGATAACGGGGTTTGTTGGTCCATAAAAGACTTTAGTGCAAGATGGTCGTGTGCATCTTCACTCAAGGCTCCACTAGGAGCCTCCTCACCCCATCTCAGAGCAGATATAAGAATCCTGGCACATCCTTACTTGAAGAGTGACAAAAAGAAACTTGGGATGTAGTCCAGCTGTTCCATCAGGAGAGACTGGAAGTTGCCACAGTGAGCAGAGCAAGACAGTACACACATCCATCTCTAACTCAGTGGGGAAAAAGCACCACCTAGTGGCGCACACAATTTCCTACACAGCATGGCATGTCAATCGCTAAAGGTTAAAATTATTATCAATTAATTATTGATATCACTATTTATGCCATTTACTAGCATCATACAGTATACCAGTGTGCAAACCACAGGGAGACGTGCTACAGACCAAGTTCCTCTGGCCATGGTTTTCATTTGATCACGTTATTAGCCAACACTGGCAAAGCTCACACCAGCGTTGGATATTGGAGCTGAAAGCACTTTGGATGCCAGAATGTGCTTTTAGGACTGAAACTCAGTGTCTAGGCAAAAGTAAACATTTAAATAAAATCTTGATTGTACCTAACAACTGATGTTGCCCTTCTGTTAAAGTCAAATAATAATTTGACCATTTACATGATGTTCCTCTGCTTATCTTTCTAACTGGCTCATGCTCATTGAAGGTTACATGACATCATGACTCTTACCCTGTGTCTGTGACAACCTGATCAACACACATGCTTAAATATGAGGCAAGAGGATGCTAGAAGAGGTCGCTGACAGTAACTCACAGGTGAGGGAGGGATCTGTCATCACCAGTGAATATAACACCATTATCATTATTACTTTTTCCTGTCAGAGGTTTGCCTTTCCATTATCGAGGTGACTACTACAAGGCAATGTGTTTCTTCTTTGATGCTTAAACTTTGACGAGTCTTTACGCTGCACACAAATCTCTGACTGTATGGAATATCTGAATCACTGTGGCTTAACAGCAGAGCTAGAACATTATTTTTAACATAACAATTAATTCTCATTTTCATTTATTAGATTTAACATATCAATTAATTCTCATTTTCATTTATTAGAGTGAATATTTCTGAATTTCTGAATGCATTGTCTCTATATGATGTATTTGTATTACATTTTTTCTTTCAAACTGGGGCATAACAGGAGCTGCACTCTAATATTATTAATAGTTTACATAGTAAGTCCCAGAGCATTTTATTAAGATGTCATATGCTTTGATTTTTAAACCTTTGCTTATAATAATGACCTAAAGCACATTACTTCTCTTGTTTCAAAATTATGCTGTGCTTTGCAAAGTTGTGACAAAACACTGAAAATGTGCACTTAGATTTTGAGTTATTAGAGAATAAACTAAAGTTTTTAATGCCACTTTAAAGTTCTTTAAACTACCAAAATGCATTTTGTCTCATCTTCCTACAGATTTCAAAGCTGAGAGCCATGAATTCCTGACAGAGTGTGCATGGGACGTCTGTGGCTGCAGGTTCGTACAGGTTAGGATGTCTATGCATTTATTATAAAATACTTAAGTCTTGCCTTTGCATTGCAGCCTGTTATGCCCTTGTACTCTGTGTCCTTACACATGTTTGTATTATCAAAGTTACTTTCATCATACAATTCATCTAAGTGTAAAATGTCTCAAGACGTGGAAACATTAGCATTTGTAAACTTTTTTCAGTTCTTCAGACTGGGAGGAGATGGTGGTGATGCCAAATTCCACCTCCTCCAGCGCCCTGGACCTGCTCCTTAGCAATACCAGCTCTACTCTGACAGGAGGTGCTCAGGATGGATTTCAAGAAAGCTTCTCTGGTATTCTGATTAAAAACATGGTGGCCGTACTGGTTTGGCTGGTCCTCAGCATCATCAACTGCAGCATGGTGCAAACCTTCCTACGACACAGGTACACACGACCTTTGTCAAACATGTTTCTACATATACACACATAGGATATCTAAACCTTCAGATTTGTGCCCCAAACCCCAACCTGTTTAATTAGAAAATAACATGCAGATAAAGTGATAATTAGAATAATCCCAAATTGCAGTTTCTCATGACTTACACAGTACACAAGTGCCTGTCTCAGTTCTTGTCTATGTGATCCTAGTCTCTTCTATGAGAACCCCCGATATATCATGTTCATCTGCATGGTCATCAACGATGCCGTGCAGCTAAGCCTTCTAACAGCTCTCTACGAGATCAGCTACATCTTCAGGAAGATCCACGCCTCTGCGTGCTGCCTTCTGGTAAGCCATTAGGCTGCTATATCCCCTTTATCAGAATCAGCTTTATTGGCCAGGTGTGTCGGACACATGAGGAATTTGACTCTGGTACAACTGCTCTCAACGTGTATGTACATGTCCTTATGTAAGGCAGCAATGGGCACATAAACAATACAAAGCTGAGAGGACAGAAAGTAATGTGCAAACAAGCAAAAGGAATGTGCATTAGTAAAAAAATAAATAAAATTAAATGAGAATAAGTACTTATAGAGACCTGTATACACACAGTCTAGATGCATTTTACAGATCTATATGTACAAGGTATATTTACAGGTATTGCACTGAGGATTATTGACCAGGCATACCCTCGTAGGTGAAGTGTTCATCAGAATGACAGTCTGGGGCAAGAAACTGTCCTTGTAGCTGGTTGTCTTGGTGCACAGTGACCTGTAACGTCATCCAGAGGTGAGGAGTTCAAACAGATTGTGTTCAGGGTGTGAGGGGTCTGCTGAAATCATGTTCAAATCAAAATTATGTTCATTAGGCCTGTGCTGAGTCATATATCAGAATCAGTTTATTGGCCAGGTGTGTTGGACACACAAGGAATTTGACTCTGGTACATCGGCTCTCAATGTGCAAACAGTAAACCAACATAAGGTTGTGTAATATAACAAAATAGCAGTATTAACAGCAACACTGACAGAAACAAACAGTGCAAACAATGCAGAATAAGCTGTAAACAAACAGTAAACAATGCAGACAACAAAGGAATGTTCTTTGAAATGAGATAAATAGGAATAAAAACAGAGTACTTAAAACTAGAGACCTGTATAATCTGTACTGTGTGTGCATACATATACATATACACATATATATATATATATACATACATACATACACACACACACACATATACATATACATGCATACATACACACACACTGCACAGAGGGTTATTGTCCAATCATATGGTCATTGGTTAAGTGTTCATCAGAGTGACAGCCAAGGGGAAGAAACTGTCCCTGTGCCTGGTTGTCTTAGTGCACAGTGACCTGTAACGCCGTCCAGAGGGGAAGAGTTCAAACAGATTGTGTCCAGGGTGTGAGGGGTCAGCAGTGATCCTCTCTGCCCTCCGTTTGACCCGTGTGGTGTACAGGTCCTCCATGGAGGGAAGGCTCACATGAATGACCTTTTCTACAGTCCTGACTGTCTGCTGAAGTCTGTACTTGTCCTGTTTGGTTGCTGAGCCAAACCAGACAGTGATGGATGAGCAGAGAACAGACTCGATGATTCCTCTGTAGAACTGTATCAGCAGCTCCTGGGGCAGGTCGAACTTCCTGAGCTGGAGCAGGAAGTTCATCCTCTGCTGTGCCTTCTTGGTGATGGTCCTGATGTTGGACGTCCACTTCAGGTCCTGGGAGATAGTGGAGCCCAGGAACTTGTAGGACTTTACTGCTGATACAGTGCTG